GTTGGGGGGGGGGGGGGTTGGTCATGTTTCCCAGGGTTGATGGGAGGTGGCAGCAGTGAGGCAAGGCACTTTTGGGGGAAGATACTAATCCTGCCTTGGAAAGGAAGCCCCAGCTCATGGGGACCCAATCTGGCCCCCTACCTTGTTCTCCCTCCACCCCAGTAGACCTCACTCCTGGACCTATCTGTGCCCTGTGACCTGGATAGCTGACGTGCTCTACAGACTGTTTCAATAGGGTTGCACCCCTAGGGGTGGGAAGATCCAGCCCTGGGGGCAAGAGAGGGAGTTGGCTTGATGGCAGAACCATGCCCTGAGCAGAATAATTCAGGGGGTAGAAATCTGTCCACACAGAACAGGAAGGTGGGGGAAAGGACACTACATCCTGGTTTGCTGGAGGACTGGAACTTGGGCAACTAATCTGTGGGGAGTGGCCACACATTAATGGAACAAGAACTGGGTAACATGGATCAAAGATAAACCTCTCTGGAATGGAGTAACTTTAAGATGCTTAAAGTGTGCTTAAAACTATTTTCAGGTGTTAATGTGTGGACAATCCAAAGGTTAAGTGCTCCAGGAGCCACCTAAAATTAATGTGCAAAATTCCCTGAGTGGGAATGTATGACCCTCCATGTTTTAAGAGTCCTTAACAAGATTTAAATTGTAACTTTTAATCGCACCCTTACATACATGCAGTAGGCTTGATCCATTGCCCAGTGAAGTCATTAGAAAGATTTCCACTGATTTTAATAGGCATGGGATCTTGCCCTGATTTTTTTTTGCGCTGAAACCACTAAATATTTCAGCTGCACAATAGGGAGCCCATGTAAGACATTGCTCCTCATTATAATGATCATTTTTCAAATTGACAGAAATAGAGGGTTTGCTGGTTTACAATATTCATGACAAGCTGTGTGTTTTGGTTTTATTTTACTTCTCTAAGTTTGTAATTATACTGAACATTCATGAAGACCTTGCTTTGTACAGGAATGCTAGCTTAGTGAAAATTCCCAGTGCTGTACTGCACAACAAAATGTTTTATTACAAATCTCCATGTTTGGACCTCAGCATACCAGATGCTAGTTACAGCCAAGTCTTGTAGGACTAGTCTGTTTAGAATATTGATGCTATGGAAGGATCTAAGGTCTTCTATCTCTTTTTCATGGGCAGGAAACTTTAGTCCTTTCTTTTTGTAATTCCACTTTTACAGCAGTTCTTAAAAATGCCATAAACAGTAAATCAAGGATCACAGTGATACTGTTAATGGAAATATCTAACATCTTGCACTTTTCTACATATGTGAGCAATGACTCAAGCTGTCTGATGATTTTTACAGCCAGCTTTTGCTCTCACTTACAGGACTATAAATCAGAAGTAATTCAGCTGAAGTCAAAGCAATTACACCAGTGTAAATTAAGTGTCACATCAGTGTCAGGCTCACTTAAGTGACAAAGTCGTAAGACCAAAACCCATCAAGAAAGAACCAATATGGCAGACTTAACTAGCAACAACAAACCCTCAGGAGTTCATTTCTTTCTGATACAAACACAGTATTTAATGATAATACAAAGCCTATGATCTTTTAGGGGTGTTGATTAAGAGTTTTGTATCCTTGTGGAAACCTAGATCAAGAGTATATCCAGCATCTGTCAGCCAAGATATACAGCTAATTCCACAAATACCCCATAAATTAATCTATTAGAAACCTCTTAATGGGGCTGTGCATGTGAAGAGATTATAAGATCAAACCCTTATTATTGTGCAATTGAGCTGTGATTTTTTTTGTGGTTAATATATTATTGTTCTACTATATTGCATGTATTACCTGAGGTTCTAAAATATCCTGTGTCTCACTTAATTTAATCTCTGATAGTTAAAGAAATAATATTCTAATTCAGAATATTTTATTTCATTTTGCTGGCATAAAAATTTGGGTGTCTCGCATAATTACTTAAAATTCTCTTTCCTTCTACTCAGTTTATAACATTTTATTCTGATGATTTTTTTTAATTATAAGCTAACTACCTAATTATGCTTCATTATGACCTTTCTAGAGTAATTTACTTTAGTTAGTTAGTAGCATAATGAGGACAGACTTCTACTTGGCTGCAAACACAAGTAAGTGTCACCTATGCAGTTTTTAGTTTCACCTAACATTCTGCTTTACTTTGCATCATGGCCTGAATCATGCTTACACAGCTAAATGTCTCATATATGATTATGTGTTTGCCATATACCGCTAAGTTAGTCCTTCTGCATATTCATGGAATGTATTCATTGTTTCCCAAGAAACTTCTAAGTTTACTTTTGCTCCATTGCAACTCAAAGGCACAATGGACACACAAATGCTGTGTAAATTGTAGAGGACTAAAAGTCACAATTAGCAACTGTTTAACACGGAGTTCAGGGCATGGTGGTGGGGTTTGCCAGGTTTTCCCCAGGAGCCTGGTTCCCCTTTCTCCAGAGGATATGCACTCTGAACTTCCCTGAAACAGCAAACCAACAACTAGGTTAAAGGCCATTGGGGAGCAAAGAGGGAAAACATCATGAAGACAGCAGGAGAACAAGTAGGATGGAGCAGACTCTGGTTCAGGAATGCACGCACTGCCCAGGGCAAGTGAGCCCTTGTTTCCACAGTACTTGTTCATTTTGTTTTATTGGAAAAACTGCATTAACACTGTTAGACCTCGACTCCACGCAATGCCCAACAACTAGGGAGAAAACAGATTGATGCCATTATGCATCACCTGCACACATTGCTCATCAACAGCTTTATTCAAAATGGAGACAACTTCAGGCCAGTTCCAACAAACCAGGGAGCTGCCATGAACATTAGTTCTTTCCATATTTATACACTTTGGTTTATGCTCATTAACATTTACCCCACCTTTGTCCTTCCTTTGTTCCACCCTTAGTCCTTCCCATTTTGAACTCTCCGTTTCCTGTTTGTTTCACTAGCATGGAATTGCCTATGTATTTTACTTATTTACATGTCTTTTTGCTATAAGTGCATACCTAAGACCCTGACTCCACTTCTTCGGTCACTTGGTTGGACTTCAACTAAAGCCTGGAAGCTTCTGGAGGCTTCTTTACCAGTCACCGTTCACCTTTTTGCATATGTTTATCTTGGATTCTGTTACTAGTTACGTGTTGTCTTTCACATTCCAGTCCATTTTTCGGTCCCAGGTTGTACTAACTCGACATTCCTAAGTCTTCACCTCATTCACAACACAAAGACTTACACAGACTCATTTGAAAATGGTTGACATAGTTAAGATGGTTACTTAGCATAAGCGAATGGCTGGCTTAGCATAAGCATTCATAAGCAAATTCTGCTTTATCTTCTAACAATAGCCGGTGGTTTGCATCCTGTCTCTTTTACATAATGAGCTATATATTTTACAACACTACTATACTGTAAAGAAAATGATTGCCTAAGCATCTTCCAATGTTACTTTTAACATACCATTCTGCCTTGTGGTTAGCAACTTTGCTACTATGCCACAGGTCATAGTCTTTTATTCAGCTGCAAATCCAATATTCTCTAAGATCCACCAGGAGAAATGCCTTGTTGGACCTGGTCCTGGCTATGGGAGATGACCTGGTGAGTGGACTGCGGGTTCTCGACTACCTGGATGATAGCGATTATCACCTACTGGAATTCACCATCCAGCACAGGGTGTCAAAGGCCTGCACCAAGGCAACAGCCCTAGATTTCCAGAGGGCAGATTTCAATGAGGTCAGGAGACTAGTCGGGGAGGCACTGAGGTCCCAGAGGCGAGGAGAGTTAGGAGTCCAGGAAGAGCGGTCGTTCTTTAAGGAGCCGATCCTCCAAGCCCAAAGGGTGACAATCCCAATGTGGATCAAAGGGGGCAAGAGTGCTCAAAAGCTCCCATGGCTCATCAAAAGCATCCAGGAATATCTCAAGGCCAAAAAGGAGGTGTACACCCAATGAAAGGGAGGAGCCATCACCAAGGAGGGTTATACCTTCATTGCTCAGGACTGTAGGGGGCTGTTAGGAGGGCTAAGGCAGAGATGGAACTGGGACTAGCGACCTGGATCAAGGATAACAAGAAGTCCTTTTTTAAATACATAGGGGGTAAAAAGAGGGTACTGGGTAATGTAGGGCCTCTGCAGGATATGCCAGGAAATCTAGTTGTCACACCAGATGACAAAGCTAACCTCCTTAAGAATTTCTTTGCCTCCATCTTTTTGAGCAGGGACCAGGGCATCCCCCCTCACTGGGATCCCTGACTGACCCAGGGGAGGCGCTGCCAGGCTCAGGGTCAGTGAGGACCTAGTTAGGGAACTTCTGGTGGAACTAGACATGTTCAAATCAGCAGGTCCTGAAGATCTCCACCCCAGAGTGCTGAGGGAATTAGCAGAGGCGATTGAGTGACCCCTGGCACAGATTAATGAGCACTTGTGGTGCTCTGGCAAGGTGCTGGAGGACTGGAAAAGGGACAATGTGGTCCCCATTTTCAAAAAAGGGAGGAAGGAGGATCCAGGAAACTTCAGACCCATTAGTCTCACCTTGGTCCTGGGGAATCTCTTTGAGAAAATTGTCCAGGAGCATAT